GCGCCTGGCCAGGGAGTAACTGTCTTTTCCCGAGTGTACAGTACTTTTCCACTGTGAAAATGTCGAGTCCTTAATTTAGGTCTTTTGACATTTATTACACATACGCCTGTTTTATCAGGACCTTCCTGCTTGTTTATAGTTATGATAATATGCCCAAATGATTTTCACTCACACCCCTAAATGTTCTCAATCATCTTACCTACTTCAGCGTTTTTTCTGATAGCTAATGTTCTCCACATTGTTTATATTTTTTGCAGTTCATTTCGGTGTACTTTGACGAATATTCCCCAGACACAGGCTTTACTGAACAAAGCTAAACTTCCTTTGGGGTTGTTGTTACACCCCTTCAGAGACCTGACGGTAAAGTAACAGATTTTAACATATTTGTGGGTACTGTTGTGTATGCTGTGTACAAGGTACTTAGATTTTGTATTCTCTTAGAATTTTCTTCCTCTTCTTTTGTTTGAAGTTAAGAAATAATCATTTCTGTCGCATTCAACTCAGCAAACATTTTCTGAGCACCTGGCTCTGTGACAGGCCCTACACCAAGTAGTGACAACAGAGAGATGATTAAATCATTGACCTTGCCCCCCAGAAAGTTCTTATCTGACAGGGGACAAAGATGAAAACCAAATAAGCACAGTGCAGGGTATTAATACGTGTAGTTAATTAAATTCTATGAGATATTTAGGTAGTGCGTACAATGCGAGAAGTGATTCCCTCTGGGTACAGGGGCAGAAATTCTCCGTATGTGATGAAATCTGAGCTGGATTTTAAAAGATTAGTAGTTGTTACAGTTAGAACGGCCATAGAAGGTAGATACACTTTAGGAGTCCTTTATTAAACCCCAAAGAAGAACCAATAGTAGTGTCCCCTTAGAGAGGAAAACTGATTATTCATTAACAATTTAAATAACCTTTGTAATAATAGGGAAAGTCCAGCACTTCAGATCTGTTGAATAAAGACATTACTTGTTTTAAGTTTCTGCAGTCTGTTTGGTTTAATACCTAGCTTGCTAGATTTTTATGCATCCTCCTGCTATTTCATGCAAATATGTTGAATGGAAACTAAATTTTTAAAATTTCAGAAATAATCTTATTCAGAGATGTTTTATTTGTACTTAATAAGTTGCATTTCTCTCTCACACTTTATTACTACTGTGGTTTTCTACCCTTCCTCTTGGTAATGGATTCCTTTTGCTCCCATTCATCCAAAAAATATATATTGACCACCTATCATGCTAGATGCTGGGGATGCGGCGGTCAGGAAGCTTCCTTGTGGAGCTTGCTTTCCTATGAGGAGCTATAGAAGGGATCCACATGAATAGAAAGTAAATAATTACAATATACAATAAGTACCATGAATTTATTCATTCACTAAATACTATTTAATTACTTACAATACTATTACAATTTTCATATCTAAACCAAGACAGTTAATTTCTTGTATACATAAATGAGAGTTTTTTCCTAAATACAGATACCATACATGATACCCTCTAGAAGTATATACACTAAATTGTTAACAGTGACATCCTCTGAGATGTAGAATTCTGCGTAATTTTTTATTTTCTCATTTCCAGTTAACTTTATTTCCTGATTTTTTTTTTTACGAAGGATATGTAGTTGTGTAATAAAAATAGTATATGTGAAAAAAATTAAATGCAAAGATATAGATGTTCATGTGTAGATAGAAAAAAAAGCCAGAATGGAAATATACTAAAATGGTAACAGGGATTAATTCGGGGACATAATATGTGATCTCTTAATCTTTTTTCATCTTTTCTTAACTTTCTGCATTGCATATAAAGTTCCTTTCCCAAACTAAGCGTAGGGATGTGTTTTGTACAGAGGCACGTTGTGTTTGGCCTCCTCGGCTCCGCTCCCATCAGGACTGCCGTGGCTGTCCAGGGAGCAGCGTCTGAGCCCGGTGCCAAGTGCAGGCCGTCAGCAGAAACAAAGGCATTTTTACACGGCGTATGTTTCTCTCGCGTGTTACTCCTTGAGTTTAGCTGATGAGCTCTAACTTACATTATTTTCTTGGCCAACGAGGCTTTACTTGTTAACAAGTAACTTTTATTACATTTTGTATGACTTTATTTTTAGTGTTATCTCATAATTTGTGATAAGAGGAGAAAACTTGATGCCTACTTGTGTTGTTCAGCCCATCGCTGGATTTTGTTAATATATTTCAACATAAAACCACACAAAAACACAATTAGGGTTTCTGTTCTGTATACGGAGCAGAACAGCATATGTTCTGTTTTTCCCTTTTTTCTGCTACAACATCTTTATTTTATTTCCCAGCAATTACCGGTGATAACATCAAATACCATCGTGAGATGCCGATCTTGTCGAACTTATATTAACCCTTTTGTATCCTTCATTGATCAACGTAGATGGAAATGCAATTTGTGCTATAGAGTTAACGACGGTGAGTTTCAGATTCTTAAAATCAATGTTTTAATACTATTTTCAACATTTTTTTGACATTTTTGTCATTAGCTGGTTTCTCTCCTCATTGCTTTATTTTATTTATTTATTTATTTTTTGAAAGAGAGAGTCTCACTCTGTTGCCCTGAGTAGAGTGCAGTGGCGTCAGCCTAATTCACAGCAACCTCAAACTCCTGGGCTCAAGTGATCCTCCTGCCTCAGTCTTCCGAGTAGCTGGGACTACAGGCGCACACCACAATGCTCAGCTAACTTTTCTATTTTTAATAGAGATGGGGTCTCGCTCTTGCTCAGGCTG